CAGCACCTCCATCTTGACTCGGAGTGCCTCCTTCTTTCCTTTTCCAGAGCCTGATCAAAATAATATGTTCAATATGACATTTCATCTGCCATGACAATGCCGTATGGTTACCACATTGACTTGTTGTAATGGCTAATTGGTGACACACTGCCGTTAAAATACAACAAAGGGAAAGAAAAACAAAGGATTCAGTCTGGAAATGAAAGAAATAGTTGTGTCATGTTGTTTGATGTTCTGCCAATTAAACAGGAAGAAAATTGGTGTCCTGTCTGCTGAGATGACACTATAATTGCAGTATTTGTGTGGCATGTTTAGCATCAAACTGACATCCATAAAAGCACTGATTCAGTAGTTGGAGTTGAGGATTACAAGTGGGATAGTTACAACTGGCTTTGATAGTTTTTGACCTATTGGTACACTCCCTTAGGGAACAAGTAGATTAAAACCTGCTTGTATTTGTTAACATGAATGGGTCAAGGCAAAGGCTGTGATTCATTACAGTATGTACTAACTCATAATGTTAAATCTTAATTTTAAATTGGCCTTCAATTTAACGTTATGTGAGCTTTAATGGTAGATGAGCTCACAGACTGTAACTTCAGTCTCTCTTTGAGTCTTTCCATCTTTTCACATGAGAATCTGCTGTATCCACCCAGATCCGTATATACCCTCACCCTGAAACACACACATGCACAAAACCCCCACCCCCTTCCACAAACACACATGAACCCAGAGTTAGGAACTCAAGGACCCAGCTCACCATGTTCCATTAAAGAAGTCTACAGGATATCCTCTATGAGTGAACGCCTCGCAGTTCTCCTCCCACTACCCTCCCTGTATCACCTCATATTGTTTCTCAGATTAGTATTTAGTAATGATAAGTGAGGGAGCCATGAAAACAGCCAGCACGCACATGGAGTTCAGGAAACTGACTGAGAAGCCCCACCTTCAGTCCTCCTAAGGGAGGATTTCTGACAAGTGAAATTATTCAACATGATGGAAACACAGGTCAAGACAGGGGTGATATAACAGAGATTGATGTGAAAGCTCAGTTAGGAGTTAAGAGTGTTTACAAGCAGCTGTACTTCTGGTCATCAGGTGCGAAGAGGAAATCAGCTAGTGTCAAAATATTAATAGAGGCAAGCCATATACAGGGAAGGACATGCAAAGTGTTACTTGTAATGCTAAAAATACATTTCTGTCCATAATTATAGTTTTAAACTTCTGATAAATGCAATTTAACACATTTACAAAATATCATGCATACAGTGCACTTTTTAACATAGCATCCAACCTTAATTCATGATATGCCTTTTATGCACAAAACGTTCTCTAAATGTTGCAAAATGCTTTAATGCGCAAACTGCTGGCCTAAAGTCACAAAATCAAGCTCACCAGATTTAACAGACGTGCATCTTTCAAAGAATTACAATACTATATAATAATAAAACTACTACTATTACTACTACTACTAATGAAAATAATGATAATATTTTATTCAAAAATTAAAAATATTTTGAATAGGTGTGCCATAAAACATACATTTCATGGCACACATATAGTTTGCTTACAAATTGCAGCACTTGACACATACAATACATACATTTCATGTATAGTAAATCACTTTATAGAGCTTCATCTGTCTTTTTTACCTCTTACATTCAGACAGACAGGAAACCAAATGTGCAAGCTCTAATCCTCACCTCTGTATGTGTGCAAGTTGTCTACTGATGAACTTTCATGTGATACTTGGGTGTTAGCTTGCACCAAGATATCACAGACTCCTTAGATCCCTGTTATAAATGGCATTTGGGCTCAGTATAACAATTCCCTGCACAGTGAGTAACATCCAAGTCTTAAAACCACTGCAGTGATATTCTTGCCAGCATAAATTGTCCACACAGCTTTTAGGCCAATTTAAAAAGCCTACTGCGAAAGAGTCAAGGATAATAGTTTTTCCAAAGAACTGTCATATTATTAAAAACATGCGTATGGTATGTGAGTAGTGGCATAGATTGAATTGAGTTAAGGCAAGGCCTTATGTGCTGCAGATGCCTTCTCTCAATGAACTCTTTCTGCCTCCCTCAGTCTCACTGTTCTTTCTTGAAACTATCTATTGTTTGTATTGCCCCCCTTATTTTTTCTTTGGATTTGGGCAGCGGTTTCACTACACTGTTTAATTGCATGATATTTCTGCAGTGACAGCGTGTTATTTAGGCTCTGCTACAATAAGTGAGTTTTTTCCACTGTAATTTTGTCAAATGTCCTGGACATGTAGGTCAAACTGATCATCAAGGTGTCATTTAGTTAAACGCTGTAACCTCACACATTAGCTCAGATGGGAAAATGGAAGTAACACACAAATATAGAGTTTGGTTTTGTACAACTTCCTGCCAATAAATGTTTGTGGCTGTGCTGAATTCCTGTTTATCTTAAGCTGACCAAGCAACAAAGTCTAAAATTTAAGGTACATAGTAATCTCATCTAAATATACAAAATTAATACATTTACTTACTTGTTAATGTTAATTAAATATTAAATGAACACATTTTGTTTTCTCATATTGTTTTCTTCCAATGGCCACAGATAATGTTTTGCATGTTAGGGATATGTACAACTATTAAAGTGGAACTGGATGCAATGTCTTAATAAGCTACATTCCAAAAAGATGAACTCATCATGAATCATGAAATCTGACAACCTTGCTGATGAAAACAGCAGTGTGTGTGTGTCACACCCGAGATTGTTGTTATTAACAAGGTACAAAACAAGCACTAACCCTTCAGTCCCACAGAGATACAGTATACTGAATGGCTTTAGTCAAGCAGATTTATCTTACAATGTGCAAAGGCCTCTGTGTTTACAGTGCTATTTCAGGGGCACCGAGACACACACAAACGCACCCACGTCCACAGTCAAGTAACCACACAAGCACATGCACAGGCACATATTCACATAATGTTGCTCACAGTGCAAACACACACACGCACATACACACTCTTCTCCAGATGTTGTTTTGGAGCTTTCCCTCATTCTGTCGCTCCATGTTTAGATAAATACACATTGGCTGGGGGAGGTGTGTATTTCACACACTGTGTGTTTTGGTTTAATTGAGTACTACAGAGATTTGTGGCATTGGGTTTACAGTGCAGCCCTCTTGGGCCTGTATGGGCACTGAGGGGCCACACACTTTGTTACGCATAGTACAGTATATATATATATATA